GCTTGCAGTATAATGAAGCAGGGACAGTCATAGGACTCTTCCTGTCTTCACATCAAATGGCAAGAACAAATTGAGCTGAGAGGCAGAGTGACTTGTCAGATCCCACAGCCAGTAAGGAAGACAGAATATGAATCTACAACTTCTGAACTCAAATCCCCAGCTATTTCCTAAACTAATTCCCCGAGAGGAGGAACTAGTACATTGAGATTAGTTCAGGCCAAAGCTGATGGCCTGAAAGATTCTGGGTAGCCATAAATGTCAAATGAGGGTTATAGGAACTCTGAAGAAAAATAAAGTAGATAGTAGGATTGGCGAATGACTAAAGAGTGCAGAACTGGTGAGGCTTTTTTATATCCTGCCATAGATGGGAAGAGGTGATATAAAAATGCCACTGGGTACATGGGTRAGACTTTCCCTTTGCTATGTTAGTAAAGTTCACCCAAAAGCTACTTCAAACATTTAAGAAACAACAATTGCTTGCTTATTTGCACTAATTTGTTCATATCTCCATTCATTAAAGCTTTCAATCTTTTGGCTTGAATTCACTTAGCACTAATGTACAGTAACATGTCAAGACTAGCTTTCGGTTAGGTGATTGGTTCATGGCAAGCAGAGTTGCTATTGAGAAATAAGATACTGGAAAGTGTCAGGGATTGTGAAGCAGGAGAAAAGCTATTCCTACAGAACAAAGCAAGGACCCCAAATAAATGTTTCCCTGTCAATTGTTTTCATTTGTGTGTAAAAGCATGTACGACAGTTGAACCTTTTGAGTCTCATAGACCTGGATTATCTTTGTATCTCTGGTCAAGCACCACAGTCCTATGTAACCCCATTTTTTTTTTAGTTATAAATTGGGAGAATCAGCCAGCCTTTACAGGATTGCTGTGAGGATTAAAAGGAGAGAAAGTTTGTAGGATCTTGTCTTTAGTAGGGATCAACAAATATTAGTTCCTATTCTCCCAGCCTATCATATGGAGAATGGAATGGTGATTCTAGGAAAAGGCTGGCCTCATTTCTCTATAGTTAAACATCAGGATATAGAAACAGGTGAATGTTTTAGTTAGMTTTCTGTCACTATGACAAAATACTTGAGAAAATCAACTTAGAGGAGGAAAGATTTCTTTTGGCTCACAGTTTCAGAGTTTTCAGTCCCTGGTCACTTGGCTCCACTGTTTGGGGTGAAGCAGAACATCATGGTGGGACGTGCATGGTGAAGCAAGGCTGCTCACCTATGGTGGTCAGGAAGCAGAAAGCAAGAGGTAGGGACTGAGGACAAAATATGCCCTYCAAGGGGATACTCCCAGTGACTTTCTCCAACAAGGCCCCATCTAATAAAGTTCCACCACTTCCCAATAACCTGTTGAACTTTGATACATCAATGGATTAATCCACTGATGACATCAGAGCCCTCATGATCCAATCACTTCTTAAGGCCCCACTGCTGAACACTGCATTGGAAACSAAGCCTTCAACACATGAATTTGGCGGGGGTGGGGTGGGGGCATTTCATATCCAAGCCACAACAATGGAAATCAGAAGCATTATCCAGACCAGGGCACATCATCAGTTCTAAGCTGTAATAGGCCAGGTAAATGGCCATCTTTCTGGAAATGCCCTTGYTAATAATGCCAGCATGTAAAAATCCGTGTGAGTACAGCGCTTTGGATGCTGTTTGAAGAATACACCTGTTACTGTATTTAAAACCCTGAATAAGCCTGAAAACTAGGCAGGGTAAATGTTACCATCCCTGTTTCCCAAAGAAAAAATAAGATTAGTAAGACCCGGTATGTTGCACTTGATTCTTTTACAACATCAAAGGGGAATAATTATGAAAAAAATTAAATTCAATTTGCTTCTGTGCAAAAACAAGTGGAATATTGAGATTTTCTTCCCAGAAATGAATGAGGTATTTCTCACCACAGATTACAAAACTCTAGGCCCTAAAAGAATAGGACTTTTACCCTTCACATGTATGRATATGCTTAAAATGGGTATTTTTACCTTCTGTCATAATAGTATTAATATGGTTTTAAGTAGGGGATAAAAGGTACTGGTCCTGCTGTTTACTAGTGAGGGGTGAAGGGAAACACAGTTTCCATACATTTATAAGATTTTCCAGCTGAAGTGGCAGAAAATGAAAGAAARACACAGACTTCAGAGTCAAAAGATGAGATTTGCAGTTCAGTTCTTCATTGAGAGTCAAGCAGTACAGGACACACTGCTTAATATCTTTGAGCTTCAGTTTACAGAGAAAAAATGGAAGTGATACCTGCTTCTCCAAAGAGAGTGGTATTGCAGAAAGAACACTGGATTACAAATCAGTGAGTCCTTTATTTCCAATCCCAGTTTAGCCATTTACTTGAAATATATGCTTAGATAATTTGCCTAATTCCTTCAAGCTTAGTTTCTCCCTTATGAGTAAATAATATCATTTTTCCTTCCAATATTGTAGGTTAGTTTTGAGGATACAGTGCAGGTAAAAAAAAAAATCCTTGTGTGGTAAAGCAAATAAACTATCAAATTTACTATCAAAGCAAGATAAAACTTAGGTTCTTTTTGCTGAGATTAAATATCATTTCATTTTAAGGAATTACTCTGTTTCTTTGCCTGCTGAAGAAGGATAAACCTAACAGGTTTCAATTCTAGTCCTGCCACTTCTTCACTGGGCCCTGTGGTTGCACGTCCCATCTCACATTTTGTTTGGTGGTGTTGATAGTGCCCCTCCTCAATTCCAGGGCTGGATCCGGAWGGGTCCAGGCCAATCAGGATGGTCCTGTCCCTTGCCATGGCGATTGCTTCAGGGATACAGTTAAGAGTGTTGAAGGCTCTGTTGCAATAGTTGTAGGCTGAGTTGTTCTTTCCACTTGGGTATGAATGAAGCATGTAATCACAAAAATGCTGATAGCCACCTTGATAACATCAGGGAAGAATGAAGCCACAGTTGAGAAAAATCACAAAGAAAAAGATCAATTGCTTTGCTTACATCATGATCCTCTGGATTAAACTATGCCAAAAGGTAGTTCACTTCTGGGGCTTTCCATTAGGTGAGGCAATAAATTTTCTTGACTCAGTTTGAGTTATTTTTCTGTTCTTACGAGTAAAGTTTCTTCCTCATCTTTTCATAGCTTAGCCGTGGGCAAACTTCACTGCCCCTCTAAACTTCAGTTTCCTGATCTSCAAAGGGGACATTATAATATCTATCATTTACAGGATTGAGGTTCAAAGGCACATGGTACAAAGCAAGCATTTGATTTTTCTAAAAAAAAAAAATGGTTATGTTTGAAGCTCTAGGCTTTATGCTGCTTTAAGTACTTCATTTCACCTAATCATTGCATCAAACCTCTGAGGACAATAAATGAAGACATGGGGATTACAAAGTTTCTGTGATTTGGCTAGGGTCCCAAAGCTAGCTCACAAGAGGCAAAGTTTCACAAAATGTGACTGTTTTTCTTTTTCATTCTCTTATCCTTTGACCAGATGATTGATGTTGAGTATACAGTAATAATAAAATATTAATTGTATGCCCATAATGTGCCATGACTATAAGGTATTAAATATATACCAATAATACACACATTCTCTTTTAGTTTTAGAGCTACAGTTTCACAACTATCTGCATTGTAAAAGAGATTAGATGAAGTCTGTGCCTTTACTGGCCTCATACCCCTAATGATTGAGCTAAACAGCCAACATCTAAATCTTACAGGCACAGGCATAGTGCAGACAGCAACAAGAAAAATTCTACAACTAAATGCTGAAACATATAGAGGTTGTTTTAATAAGATACTTCAAATACACAGACACCCACCCACACACACACCACACATATATCTTACATTCTAATTGCTATTTGTTCCTAAAACCTTGGACCAAACTGTAGTATTTCTTTTATATTTGATTCCATGGGTTAAAAAATATTTTTTTCATATGCACTATAAAGATATTATCTCTATTATCTTTGCTTTTTTTTTTCTTTGACATGATGTCAACTGGTATATGTTTTCTAGAAAGTCTGAACAACACAATCAGATGTGACAATGGGGTGGAAGGAAAAATAGAAGAGGGTCTCCACTACACTATTTTCTTAGGAAATCTGCAGGRAAATCAAACACTGTGTTTTACTGTTTACCTCTGGGTGACATTCTCCAAACGTCTTTACATGTTATGGAGTACCTCTTACAAAACCCAGTCACCAGTAGAGTGAAGAATGACAGTATGGAGAACAGGCACTGTGAATCTCTCCCTTACAAGTGTTGCCTTGTGTGCAGATCAAGAAATACTTTCTGAGCAATAAATAATAAACCCTGGAAAAGAAAAAATAGGCTCTGAACTTGTCTTCTTAACAATTAACAAATAATTTGCCAAAGCAAATTGTACAGTATTAAAACACATCCTAAATGAGACTCCACAGGCTCTCACATGCAGGGAGGGGCCCCACTTTCCTATGCTGCCTCAMCACTGCAGATTTTGATAGATGGGTCTAAAAGGAAGACCTGAAACATCATCCTGCAGACAAGGTAAGTGATCTCAGGTTTTATGAGGCATAAAGACGTTTACCTATATTGAAGCCACACATGAAGAAACCAAAAAACTAGAATTTTTTTCTAATCTTTTGATAGCTTAGTCTTAAGATACCTAAGAGTTGTGGGAAATAGATTGGTAGTCAGATATACCTTTGCTCTTCTTACATTGGAAGTCAGATATAGCTTTGGTCTTCTTACATTTTTTTAACCTCTTCAAGCCTATTATTGTAACATGAAAATAAAACCTTCACAAGGTGGTAGAATAAATGAATATAGGGTCCAACTCATAGTAGATGCTAAAAAAAAATAGTTACTTTCCTTTTCCCTTCTCAAAAAAATTATTTATTCAATAAAATATGTTTTAAGGAAAATATCTGTCCTAGGAATATAACTGGAACAGTGTTAGTCTTTACCAGTTTTGGAGCACAAATAATACTATATAAGTAAAACTCATATTTGAAAATTTTCTCCCAAATGTATATAATRCCATAATTTCTGAGCATCACTGGGGATTTGTGCTTCTTTTCTCATCTTCCTCCTCCAGCACTGTTGTTGATGTCTGGTAGGCAGGAGATGAACATGGGGACAGCATCTCATTCCTTCTCCTAGTGGTATCCTCAATGAGAACAGAGTGGTTGTCTTCTCTGAGAACCCCAGAGATTTCCAAACTGTAATACTGCTGAGAACCCAAAATAACATGACTTTACCAAATATGCTGTGACAACATGAAAATGAACCTTCCTTCCTCCCTTTGTTGTTTCTACTTTGCCTAGACCAAAACCAGCACTTCTTGTGCTTCTCTACTAAAAGGGCTTCTTCAGCATCAGCCTGTGACTGTTTCCCTTTCATCCCATTCATAGGTGAARACCAGGAAATTTTTTATCCCAAGGTCCTCATGTCCAATAATCTCCACTTTCCCCACCAATGCAAACCATTTCCTGCAAACAGATACCTTCAGACGTCCAATTCCCAGTTCATCATGATCATCCAGACTTTGGAATCCAGTTTAGGCTGAAATCCTATAACAACTATTACACATTCAGATTTCTTATCCTCTAGGGGTCTGACTTTCAAATCAAAGGCAAGTATAAGAAAGCAAGACGTGTAATATAAATTTATTCTGTGACATTTTTCTCCTTAAAGATATTTTAAAATACATCATTATTTTATGAAAAATAAATACCTCATAGATGAATTTAGATAATATCTGTAATATACATGATTTGACCCTGGATATTYTTTTTTTTTCATTTTGAACATCATTTCTTAAAAAATAGCACAAAAATAAGGATTGCTGTATTCTTCACATGTCCTTAGTCTCATAAATTTTAATTCAACTGCCAGTTCTTTTCTCAACTATATATGTTAATGGTATTTGCTCCTGTTTTTGGATTGGAAGAGTATCCATTTTCTGTTTCTTAACAGTGATATTTAGGTCCTCTTTTTCTGATTCTTCAAGAAAATGCTTCATGCTGAGTTTGAATAGCAATCGAGGGTCTGGTCCAGAAAGCGGTGGGCAATTACAGATCTCTCGAATTTTGAGAGCCTATAAAGAAAGAATACAGTGCAATTCTTGATATATTTTATGCAAATCAAATATAATGCGTTCTGTATTTTAGAATAAAAGTCATCTTAATTAAAACATATAAAAGATAAAACACAGATAAATTCATGGTAAGTACCTACTTACCATCATTTGCTCAAATAGTATTTTTTAAACAACAGCAATTGTATCTACAACAACTGCCCAAACGCTCTGTAAAGGATAAATAAATCTTAGAGATATCTCTATAGTTTCAGTCAAACTCAAGCAGACCCTGAGAACAACCATTCATATTAACAATAATCTGAAAACTCTTGAAAGTATTTTTTTTAATAAAAGGAAAAGTGTAGAAAATACATGTCTGAACATACTGAAAAAAGACATACTTGAACAGCATGGGATGAAATTCATGCAAATAACAGAAAAGGAAACAAAATCAAAATCAGGACAATTATAAAGTGTAGGAAAAATAAAATGCTGTTGGGGAAGGAAAAGTCATCACAGTGCATTATGTGGCTCAGCTACAACTACAGGGTGGTTGCAAGTTCCAGGACAACATTTGGAACTTAGCAAGACCCTATCTCAAACTGAAAAAAAAAAAAAGGCCTAGGGATTTAGCTCAGTGGTAGAGTGTCACTGGGTTCAGCCCCAGTACCAAATAAAAAATAGAAATAAAATGCCAAATCTTGGTCTAACTAAACTCACAATTTTCATTAAATGATTAAGATTTATGGGGAAGAAAAGAGCTGAATACATGTGTGTGCATGCACAGGTATGATAGTGGTAAAAGGGAGCTTATGTCTGGTACTGTTTAGTGGAAAGCAAATAAAAGGCCTAAAACTGAAAAGTTAGGAAGTCGCAACATAAGCATGCTATTGAGATATAGTGGGAAATTTTAAAAATTATGCAATTTGAAAGTAATTAACCCAAAGCCGAGGGCAGGATGGGGGAACTGCTGCTTCAAGTAATTACCCTTAACTATTGACTTAACTCTAAAGAAGGCACATGAATAACTTGAAGACCTTAAAATTAAAATATTTGTATGAAAAAAAGTTTTAATATTTAAGCGGTTTTAAAAAAAGGACATTTAAGTAGAAAAGTTGGTTCAGTATTTTTTTTTCAGCACTTCTGACTGTTTTTTAATATTTATTTTTTTAGGTGTAAATGGACACAACACAATATCTTTATTTTTATGTGGTGCTGAGTTTCGAACCCGGGCCCCACCCGTGCTAGGCAAGCAYTCTACCACTGAGCCACATTCCCAGCCCCAACTTCTGACTTTTTGATAGTGATGAGTACTAAGGCAAGTAAAAAAGACAGAAAGGGGGATAGTAAGTATTTGGGGGAGTGGTAAATTTTTAGAAAGCCTGGACAGACAAGATCTTACTAGTAAAAAATGACTCTAGGCAGGGAGGAGAAGACCTAAAARACTTAAGAGACCACATGGTAATCTTGGGGAAAAGCATTTCACAAAGGAATGAACAGCAAGGAATGCAAGGGAGATGGAAGTGTGGAAAGCTGGTGAACCAGCACAGCACAGGTTAAAGGACAGAATAAGATTGTATGGGCTCTCACAGGTACATCCTTTACATTGTACTGTGAATAGGCCTGCCTCTAATATTTGCAGGGTCAAGGGCAAGACTGCAAATGGAGGCCTGGTTACCATGTGTGTAAGTATCTACAAGCTATAATTCAAGATAATAAACTTTTATATAAAGTATGTTCTATTCTCCTACTTCAATGAATATCACTCAAAATTACCTGTATATCCAGGTACAAATTCTTGAATTTCAGGATGTGTAAGGATGAGGGAGAGTCTACTCTAGTTTCTTCTACTAGACTGCCGTCTGTTCCCCTCTGCTCCCCTCCCCTCCCCTTCCCTCCCCTCCCTTTCCATCCCATCCCATCCCATTCCATCAGGCTTGTAAGGGCCTATGTGCACACGTATTCAAAGGAATAGGTCCACAAAGGTCCTGGAAGCAGATTCAACCATGTTTGGGCAAGGTACCCAGACTAATGGCACCCAGGTTCTTAGACAGGAATATCCCCTTAAACCTCACAGGAATGTMGGGTAGAGGCAAGTGGCATGTAGTCAGAGAAAAGTCAGAAAGGAGTCCTCTTTGGTTGATGGGGCTAAGGCAGGAACCAGGGATAGGAGCACATCTGATAGATGAGGCTATTTTTTACCAAAGTAAACTAAAGAGGTATGCACAAATGGTGGGACACTATTTCATATACAACCAGAGAAGTGAAAAATTGTGCTCCATTTGTATACAATGAATTAAAGAGCTTTCTACTGTCATGAATAACTGATTAGAACTAATAAATAAGTAAATAAAATGTGAAGCTCTTTGCTGGCAGAGGCTTTGTCTTACTTCCCTTTGAATCTCACAATACAATAGATTTAAGATATTACCTCTATTGAGCATTAACTGTTTGTCAAAGTAAACTTAATTTAAATAACAAGAAAAGGTTTCCCTACTATACAATTGAGAAAGCCAGACCCTCAGGGTGAGCTACYGTCCAAACAGGTATACTTTTAAGGGTGCAAGAGATGATACTGAGATTTTTAGGCATAAGCCAAGAATTTCTTGGCTGAACTGAAACATAYAGGCACCCTTCACAACTATAGCGACTTTCTTTTCCAAGTGAGAAGTTTATCTGCTATACCACWTGTCTAAGCCCCATGCTGGCATCATTAAAAGGGGAAAGTATGGAGTCCAGCACAGCAACAGCTGGCACAGCATTTAGCAATGAAGCAATGCACAGAGAACAGAAGAGGATGCCATCTCCATTATCTTTCTATATTTAGTAAATACTGTTAAATTCTCTTATTCAGTCTTTTCATATATTAAAAATAATTAGACCACCACACTGAGTAAAGTAGTAGGTACACATCATTCAGAACAGTCATGGTTGCTGTCTGTAATTTACTTTGTATTTCTCTACTAYTGGGCATCTGAATTGTTCCCACAGTTTTATTTGGCTTTTATAAATTACCCTACTATAAAAATATTTGTTAGCTGGTAGTGGTGATATATGCCTACAATCCCAGCAACTCAGAAGGATCACAAGTTCAAGCTAACCTGGGTAGATTAGGAAGACCCTGTCTCAAAAATAAAAAAATAAACAGAAGGGCTGGAGATGTAGCTCAGTGGTAGAGTGCCCCATGTTTAATCCCTATTACCCAAAAGAAACAAACAAACAAACAAACAAAAAACTTTGTATAAAAAAATCTTACATTTTAACCTCTACTTGGGTTTACTTGAAGCAAAACTCTCAAAAATAGAACTATCTGATCAAAGAACAGATTATAATTTCTGTAATAYAGGACCAGACTCCTTTCTAGCAGAAAAACTTAATCAATTTATAATGACATCAGCAATATAATGATATTGAGTTTAGTCACAATCAGGATAACATAAGATTTCAAATTMTTATCAAGATAACCACATATTTCAAACACCAGAATCCTCAGAAATCATCAGGTAAATTTTACAGATGAGAAAATTATTCCCRAGAGAAGTTAAATGACTGATAGGGAACAAAAAGTTGCCTTGGAAATCTTTGTAATAGCTTTATTTGCCAAAATTTGGAAGTAACCAAGATGCCCTTTAGTAGATAAATGAGTAATAAACTGTGGTACATCCAGACAATGGAATATTATTCGGCTCTGAAGAGAAATACGCTATCAAGTCATGAAAAGACACGGAGGAACTTCAAATGCTTATTAATAAGTATAAAAGAGAAYGTTATRTGACAGTCTGGAAAAGGCAAAACTAAAGAAATTAAAAAATCATTGGGAGGGATAAGTAGGCACCAATTTTTTTTAAGGCATTGAAACTATTCTGTATAATACTCTAATGGCAGATGCATGCCATACCTTTGCCAAAACAGAATATACACCACCAAAAGTGAACACTAATATGAATTATGGACTTTGTGTRGTAACGATGGGATGGTGTAGGTTCATCAATTGTAACAAATACATGATACTTGGCTGCAGGATTTTGATGGTATGGGAATCTGTACCTRGAGTCAGCTAATTCTCTATTCCTCCCTCTCAATTGTGCTGAAAACCTAAAACTGTTTTTCTTTTTTTAAAAAAATGAGAGTCTGTTTTTTTAAGTATCTTGGAAGTAAAAAAACAGGGATCAGAACCTGTTTTCCATCTAATGCTTTCACTCAACATGTTTTTTTTTGTGCTAACGCTTGCTTGTACCATGTATGCTTCATGAGTAAATTCTTTTACTGAATAAATGTACTTTGGCATGTTTGAGCTGTTTCTTTAATTGCTAGAAAAACTATGTTATCTTTCATAAAGATTTTCTATTGTTTTCTTCATATGTAAACTGTSTCTCTCCTCCTATTATCAAGGCAAAATTCTATAATACACCACATATATTTCTATAAAAGCTTCATCTATTTTGCAGGGTAAAATTTTATCTGATATCTGGATAAAATATTTTTATTTGCTTTATTATGCTTTAGGATGCTGACATCTTTTTACTTTTATAAATTCAAATCCACCTTATTAAATATACCTTTATATCTTCAAAAGTGAGCAAATACTTTCCTAACATACTGCTAGAATATGATTTTCTACTTTTTTTATTTTGTTGTCTTGTTTAACTCTATGTACTGCACATAATAGGCACTTAATACATGCTAAATGTATATAGAACATATATAGAACACTAGTCATTGTCATAAGTGTCATAAGGAGAACATTCTAAGGAATTTATAGTCTAAGAGAAAGCAAGAAGGGGCTTTAATGGCAAGAATATATGGTTCTGAGAGTCCTGAGGAAGATCTGAAGTGCATATAGATGAGCCAACCTAGGGTAGTTTTGGTTTGCATTTCTCTAATTGCTAGCAATGATGAACATTTTTTCACATATTTGTTGACTGTATATCTTCTTCTGAGAAGTGTATGTTCAGTTCYTTGGCCCATTTATTGATTGGATTTGGGGGGAGGTGTTAAGATTTTTGAGTTCTDTATAT